GGTGGTGATTAGGGAGTGGCAAGCTCTAGGCATCAGTCTCATGATCTGCCAATGGGAGCAAATTTCACAAGGCATGCTGTATGGCTTTCAATAAGACTTTCATCCTAGGTTCAAGCCTGTCTCCCACAGCTGAGAGCTTGTCTTTTTATTTTATTTTATTATTTTATTTTATGTATGTAGTGCCTGCATGTAAGTAAGTCCAAGGTATGAAAAAGGGATTAAGGCGTTTTTCAAATCACATGTATCTCAACATGCTTTATGGAAATACATAACTTTTAAAAATATTTTATTAGTTTATTTTTTGTGTATGAGTGTATTGTCTGCATGTATGTGAGTGTACCTGTGCCATACAGTGCCTCGGAGGCCAGGAGAGGGCTTTGGATTCCCCTGCAACTGGAATTAAGGATGGTTCTTAGCTGCCATGTGGGTGCTGTTAGAGTCCAGGTCTGCAGATGACCCTCTCCCTGTGCAGAAAAATCTCATGAGACAGGCCATGAAGGCCCCCTTGCAAAACTGGAACTGGCCATACAGCTGCATTTACAGCTGTCTCAGCATAAAGCTGTTCCCCAGCTAATTTTAGAAGATAAACAGGCCCCTGCACCGAGACCAACTGACAGAAGAGCTGTCTCAGTTCAAGCTCCTTCCCCTGAAACTGTAAAGTTTATTTTTGCCACCTTCCACATTCCCCAACCCCCGTATAAGAACTTCCCTAGCAGTCAGCAGGTCTGAAGATGGCAAACAGCTGGCAATTCCCAAAGGTGTTGTCACTCATGATCTGAGTGTGTTTAGAACCTGCTGTGCTATTGGAGTATGTCAAGTTGGGCTTGGAAGTACTTTGCCTTTAAATATTAATGCATGTCTCGTTCACATTTCTTCACACAAAGGAAATGAGTTTAGTGTATACTTTTATTCTTAAAGGTAAGATTCAACATCTAAAACTGTTTAATAAAATGTCTCAAGTCAGAAAAAAAAGAACCAGTGAGGCTTTCCTTCTTGTCCTAGTTTTTGTTGGACTTCTTTGTAAGGAAATGAAGTGTTAGTAGCTTCACCCTCTGTAGTTCTGGGCATCAAATCAAGGCAGGGCCTTGTGCATGCAGGGCAAGTGTGAATGCCTGCTCCTCTACTACTTTTTGCTGAACTGAAATAAAGACTCCTCAGGTAACATTCCCTTAAATTAGGAAATAGTTATATATATATGTATGTATACATATATATATATGTGTGTGTTTGTGTGTGTGTGTCTGTGTGTATATGTGTAAATATGTGTGTACATGTATGTAAACTGCTTACCAAATTTTAAATGAAAGTACCTTTTTGGATCATTTTCTTGCTGCTGTTTCACATGTTTGTTCTCAAATTCACGAATATTTCCCACACCAATTTCTTCACAGAAGTGTTGGAATATGTCATCTTCTACCTTTTCAATTATGTTAAAACAACTGGTTAAGTAACTAATTTTTAAAAACAGTGCTTAAATATAATTTTTCACTCCAACATTTTCCCAATTAGGCCAAAAGCTAATCAGAGCATTACTACAGTCATCCACGACTTTCTCTTCCTTTTCCTCCATAAACTATGCTCATTTATTTTCAAATTTCTTATTCAAGAAACTAAATGAAAAAGATCATGAACTGGCCTTAGTGAGTGGCACTATGCCTACACAGTTTTCTATAAAGCTGGGAGAATTCCATTTACTTTGTTCATGATAAAATACAATGTTCTACATGGACACTCTATAAGTGAGACAACAGCATCTCAGACAGTACGAGTGACTCATGAAGGCCAGAGCATGGCATCAATAACCACTGAAACCTGGAAATCTAGCCAACCTAAATACCCAAAATAAGATCCAACCTCAAATACGAACAGGATTAGCAAGTCATGTTAAAAAGTTTTGGATGTCACCTGAATATATTAGATATTAATATGGTAAGTCTGTACAGCAGTAAGCTACATCAGTGTAAGCAGATAATCCAAATCACGGGAAGCTATGTACGTAGAGCCTATGTACTCTGTGCTGGTCAGATAATATTTTGACATGGTCTATTCTGGGCATGGACCAATAACAGCATCTAAAGAATGTTTCTAGCGCTCAAATCCATAGTGATGGGGCTGGAGAGATGGCTCAGCGGTCAAGAATACTGGTTGTTCTTGCAGAAGACCTGGGTTCGAATACTAGCACCCACATGGCAGCTAACAACTGTCTGTAACTCCAGTTCCTGGGAATCCTACAGCCTCTTCTGTCCTCGTGGGCATTTCACGACACAGGTGCACTTATACACATGCAGGCAATTACACACATACACACAAAATAAAAATAATAAAATACTTTAAAAACTAAAAAAAGAAACCATAGTGATATGACATGATTAAATAACTCAGGGATACTTAGCCTAAGTGGGATTCAAATCCTGTGAAAAAGGCAAAACTGAAGCAGTAGGTGACAGCTACAGAATGGCAGTGGGACAAAGAGCTTTCTAAGGGCTAATGATACCCAACAGTATAGTGAATTAAGTCAGGAGTGTTCCTGTTACTTTATGAGCAGAGGCTAGGTGATCAAATCTTGGTGTCCAAGAGCCAAGTACCATACTTCTAATATAATGGCTATTAGAAATAATTGTTGTCAACAACCTTCAGGGATAACACAAATGACATTTTTTTTTGCCTTCTGATGGTACATGACAGTGGAGAAAGAAGCAAAATCATGACAGTGTGCAAGGCAGGGCAGGGGCTCACAAGCAGACAGCCTACCCAATGGTCCTTAATTTGAGTCTCAGAACGTGCAAGAATTAATTTGGCAAACTAATAAAACTCAGGCTAAAATGATTTCTGATAAGAAACAGGTACCCATCAGTCTTTGCTCTTTGCTCTGGTACAGAGCAAGAAGCCCTAAATCAGGAATCTGGCCTCAAACTTGATTCTACATATCATCTAGTAATAAGTGTAGTCTTTATTACCTTATCTATCTTTTCTTGAAACTCTTCAATTCTTTGCTGTTCCTCATTGATTCCTTCACTCAGCATAGTACACTGAGACTTTATATTTAGTAATTCACTTTGTAGCTGAGACTGTTCCTAATAACAAAAGAAGATTTTATTTCTTTTTAACATGGCTATTTTATTTTTATACAGTGAGGCTAAAAACATGATAGGGTTCTTTTGCAATAAATTAAGAATACATTAACTACAATGGACTCTGGTACAGCCAGATAATACGATTAAATACTATAAGAACAATCAAGGATTAGCCAGGCGTGGTAGCACACGCCTTTAATCACAGCACTCAGGAGGCAGAGCCAGGTGGATCTCTGTGATTTCAAGGCCAGCCTGGTCTACATAGTGAGTTCCAGGAAAGTTTGGGCTACAGAGAGACCATGTCTCAAAAAGACCAAAAAAAACAAAAAACAAAAACAAAATCAAGGATTGTAATATAATATTAATCAAGGAGTAAAATATCTAAAAATTACACAATGCCATATAAATGTAATTCCTCAAATTCTATATTCTGGTCCAAATTCTCAGCAAATTTTGCACATTACACAGTAAAAAGCATCAAGGTGCTTCTTTTTAATCATCTGTAGTTCATTTTGGGATACTTGAGTCGGGTGTTAGTTCCTTGTACTACAGCCTGTATTTGCTTCAAATCTGTTTCCTCTCGGAGTGACTTCATTAACTCCTAAAAAGACAAATGTGGGAATATTTTAGGATGGAAAAGTACTTTGACTTTTCAACATGTTTTCATATATAAAGATTAATTTTAGACATAACCATTTGACATACTTCTTCCAATAAGAGACAGGGTGTGTAAATACATTCGCCATCTGGAGTAAGACAGCATACAACTTCCTCAAAACACTAACACTTGCCAACAGAAGAGAATTAGGCATGGAAAATGAAGAATGGGGGCTGTCCTGGGCCATGTCCATTGCTAGCCTGTGTGGGGTCCTCTGACAAGTATACATAGTGCACCTCTTTTTGTTTCACTCATCTCCTTCCTCTTACTCTATTACTCAACCAAAAAAAAAAATGAAACTGTATTTTCACTCTAAGTTCTTATGGAATACAAACATGTATATGTAAATATTCACCTGTATCTCTTGGTTTTTGTTCTTGCTCTTTTGAGACAGGATTTCACTATGTAGCACGGGCTAGCCTGGAACTCCCTATGTGGGCCAGGCTGGCTAACTCACAGGGATCTGACTGCTTGCTTCCACATCCAGAGTGCTGGTATTAAAGACATATGCCATCATGCCTGGCTTTATCTATTGTTCTTTTTTTCCAGTCTTTTTGAGACAGGATCTTCTTATAGCCCCAGCAGGCCTGGAACTCACAGAGATCTGCCTGCCTCTGCCTCCTGCGTGCTGGGATTAGGTTTTCCAAATTTAGACTCAGATGGAATATGCTTTTCTAAATCTTGCTTCTCTCAGTAACTTAAAGTCTTTCTTTCGATGGCTGAGTATTATTCCACAGTATGACTGTACCAAAATTATTAGACTATTCTCTTAATGATGGGCATCCACTCTTTCTAGGGTTCTGATACCCCAAACAATGCTAGAAGAGCATCTCTGTATTTATACCTCAAGACAGGCAGTACTGTATTTATTTAATATATGCAAACAATGGAAGACTGAATATTCTTTTTCAAACATTTTTACTAGCACAATCGATTTACTTTTTTGAGGCTTATTTATAAGAACAAAGCAATCTGAATCTACACATTAACTCAATGGTGAGCTTGTCTTCTTACTTCCTGATCACATAGAGATCTTTCAGTGAACTAATCCTATCCTTTGCTTAGGTATTTTCTCAAAATGAATGCCTTTTCCACATCAAATTGCAAAGATTTAAATTAGTTAAGTAACTTTGCCACAACAGTTCCTTGAATCAAAAACTGGTAATTTGTACAGACAGGAAAGAAACTTAACTTGGAAAATGGGAAACAATCTGAAAAGAGTCTGTTGATTTAATATATTTTGAACATGACATTCCAAGTAAGAGAGAATTACAATAGTCAGTAAGTGAGGCGAAGTGGCAAGTCAGCAGGAGCAGGAGGCTGCCTAGTCTGAGTTCTCCGGCTGTGATAAAATGCCTGTATCTCGCTCACAACGCCAGGTTACAGTCCATCATTTCAGAGAAGCCAAGGAAGTGGAAACTTGACGGAGCTAGCCACAGGGCATTCACAGTCAAGAATGAAGAGAAAGGCCTACCTGTACTCAACCTCCTCTTTATACCACACAATCCAGGACCCAAACCCAGAACATGGTGCCCAGTAGTGGGTAGTACGCTGGGTCTTCCCCCATCAATTAATATAATCCAGACAATCCTCTGTAGACAGACCCACCCACAGGCCAATCTGACAGACAGCCCTCATGGAGACTCTTACCAGGTGATTTTAGGTTGTGTCGAGTTGGCAGTTAAAGCTGGTTTAACCAGCACATCCCCATCCCTTATCTCCTGAGCATACAAACATGCCACTTTAAACCATAACTTACCATCCCTTTCCTAAAGTCTCATGTTTATCTCATAATGTTATTTTATTTTTTTAATGTTTTATTTCTTTTTGGTCTTTGAGAGACAGGGTCTCCCTGTAGCCCCAGCCAATCTGGAACTCGCTACATGACCAGGCTGGCCTTGAACTCACAGACATCGACCCCAAGTGCTGTTATTTACCTCATAGAAATATAGCTTGGTATCCCTTTTTAAATATTTTTATTGAGCTTTTGTAATTTCATACAATAATTCTTAATCAAATTTAGACCCCCCTCCCCCATTCATGCCTCCCCCATCACGCCACCGGACCTCATGTATTCCGCCATACATGTTAATTCCTATTGTATGCAAACAATGGAAGACTGAATATTCTTTTTCTTACATTTTTACTAGCACAATCGATTTACATTTTCAAGGCTTATTTATAAGAACAAAGCAATCTGAAGCTACACATTAACTCAATGGTGAGCTTGTCTTCTTACTTCCTGATCATATAGAGATATTTCAGTGAACTAATACTATTCTTTGCTTAGGTATTTTCTCAAAATGAATGCCTTTTCCACATCAAATTGCAAAGATTTGAATTAGTTAAGTAACTTTGCCACAACAGTTCCTTGAATCAAAAACTGGTAATTTGTACAGACAGAAAAGAATCTTAACTTGGAAAATGGAAAGCAGTCTGAAAATAGTCTGTTGATTTAATATATTTTGAACATGACATTCCAAGTAAGAGGGAATTACAATAGTCAGTAAGTGAGGGGAAGTGGCAAGTCAGCAGGAGCAGGAGGCTGCCCTAGTCTGAGTTCTCCTGCTGTGATAAAATGCCTGTATCTCGCTCACAACTCCAGGTTACAGACCATCATTTCAGAGAAGCCAAGGAAGTGGAGACTTGATGGAGCTAGCCACAGGGAATTTACAGTCAAGAATGGAAAGAAATGCCTACCTGTACTCAACCTCCTCTCTATACCACACAATCCAGGACCCAAACCCAGAACATGGTGCCCAGTAGTGGGTAGTACGCTAGGTCTTCCCCCATCAATTAATATAATCCAGACAATCCTCTGTAGACAGACCCACCCACAGGCCAACCTGACAGACAGCCCTCATGGAGACTCTTACCAGGTGATTTTAGGTTGTGTCGAGTTGGCAGTTAAAGCTTGTTTAACCTGCACATCCCCATCCCTTGTCTACTGAGCACACAAACATGCCACTTTAAACCATAACTTACCACCCCTTTCCTAAAGTCTCATGTTCATCTCATAATGTTATTTTATTTTTTTAATGTTTTATTTCTTTTTGGTCTTTTTGGGACAGGGTCTCCCTGTAGCCCCAGCCGGTGTGGAACTTGCTACATGACCAGGCTGGCCCTGAACTCACAGAGCTCTACCTCCCAAGTGCTGGGATTAAAGGTGTGTATCACCATGCCCAGCTCATAATGAAATTTTTAAAATTTTTATCGAGCTTTTGTAATTTCATACAATTCTTAAATCAAATTTAGATTCATGCCTAAATTCAAATTTGATTCATGCCTAGATTCATATTTAGATTCCCCCATTCATGCCTCCCCCATCCCCCCACCGGACCTCATGTATTCTGCCATACATGTTAATTCTTATTCATTCAGACATTTGTATGCAAATGTCCTTCAGTGTAAATTTGTCCATTGGAGTCTAGTCAGCCCATCTGGTGGTCCTGTGCAAGTCATACTCTCCTACTCTCACTCATCCAGCAGCAATCATTCCCCAACAGTTTTCAGTCTAGTGCTGGCCCACCATCTATTTCTCTCCTCCCATATGGACAACTTTTCCAGTGTCTGCATACATGTCCACAGAAAGGCTCTGCATGTCTAGGAGGCAAACAGTCATAACTGGGCTGGTGACTACTGCAAGGAGCTTGTTAATTATGATACTTCTTGTGTCTACTCTCAAGACTGAGGCTTGAGGCGAGTTACCCTGACTGAAATTCTATTAGAACTATTAGACTACAAAGTGGTAGTTTAACTAAGGAAGAAGACAGAAACAATGTATGTCTGCCTTGTTGCCTGAGGCATAGTTTTGAATGTCATTTAGTGTGTGTTTATGCTCATGTATGTATGGGTACATGTGTGCCTACATACATGCACGTGTATGTGAGTG